AAAAAGTTTTTAAATCGCGCGTAACATCAAGTGGTTTTTCAACTGATGAAGGCTTAAGAGTTAGCCGAAACGTCTTGCTAAAATATACAAGTCAGTGACAAAAAACGGCACTTTTATCGATTATGATTTGAAATCTTTTTGAATACTTATCTTCCAGTTGCTAGAAGATATTAGAAATGTAGAGTCTTTGCGGTTATTGTTAACGTAAGCTGTAGACCTCACTTATTAAGCGCCCTTCCAAGACTCTCAATCTTTAAGCATATCAGGATACCATACTTTCTTTTTAATATGATTTATAATTCCTATTTATAGAAATATTGTCAACACGTCGATTTTTAAATTGCTGCAGTTTGGATAGGAAAACGTTACTGGTGAAGGCGCTCGATTTTTTTATCAAATTAGATGACGGCAACAAATTACAGTAATTTTTGGCATGAATATGTTTCTTTATGTATGACAGGTATTGAATTTAGGAAATAGATAACATTTTCTGTGTTTCTATCGAGTTCTATAGAAACACGAGCGGAGGTTTGGGAGAACGAGAAATGCTATGAGAACACGAACGGACAGGCGAGTGTTTTCACAGCTGTCTTGAGTCCTGCCAAACTTTCACTCGTTTTTCTATGTGACTCGGTAGGAACACAGAAAACGTTTCCCAAGAAAGGAATGTCATTCGTTTCAGTTTCGATTATCAAAGTGTAAATTCTCTGGATCTTTACTCGCCCTATCGTTATGTCAATAGCTCGTGCTGTTTCTGCCGATTTACAGAAGTACAGGTTCTTGCGTGCACTTCCTTACAGCGTGTTTTCTAAATAAGTAAAATGCAGATGAGATCAATTATACCTATACTTTGTTAAATGGGTGTATATGTTACACCTGTTCTAGGCCTAGCCGTTTACTGTACATAAATAAAACGAAGACTCACCTCGTAGTCTGAATCAGGTAGGTGGTATGGGGCAAGGCAATGGTGTAGGCCTGTCTCAGCCATACCACGTTTTTGCGTTCGCACTCGTTGACGATATACATTCATCTGAAGATTTGAGAAAAGACCGACTGCTTAGGTTCAATTCAACGCAAGGATGATTTCACTGAAGGACAATTCATTAAACTCAGATGCCATTACCATTAATAAAATCATTTTTGTTTCTTTGAGATGACGGTAACAAGAGAATCCTTACAAACTGTAAGGTTTGTTGGGTCATGAATGCGAGTATCACACTTTCTCCCAATCAAAATTTAATACCGATCCAACTCATCAAATACGAGCTAAAATGATTTTATTTTCAACGTAGGGTGCCCACCTTATTCCTCGCAGACCTACATTCACTGGATGTACTGGTAAGTGAAGACACGAATTTCAAAGTCATTACTGTCGGCCAATCAGCTCTTAGGATCAAACTGGGCGTGGTCGGGAAATCTTCACTCATGGCAAAAGTTGCGAAACTTCCAGGACGCCACATACTTGGGCTAATTATTAATCAAAAATACCGACAGATCAAAAAACGCCGAACCTTTCAAGTCACTTTATCTGATTTCATAAGCGAAGGTCAGCTCATCGCGTTTCATGGAGTACTTTCGCGACACATTCTATGCCGCCTTTTCCTGACAACATGATTGGCTGGCGACAAGAAAAGATTTGTGCTTCACTTGACTGATAATATAAAGCCTCTGTCCTTTGCGGCCCATTACAGCTTGATCAGTTGTTATGGGAGAGCAGAGCAAACGAGTTAATGAGTCGAAAGAGGACGAATGGCACCTCGTAGACGAGAAAATATTTCACTTACAAGGAACCAGGCCAAAAACAAATAGAAAGCAACGTCTGCCTGCTGTCCGGCCAGCTATCGGGCCAGATGTAAATGAGGAGAAGCAACGAAACCTGGGTTTACTTTCCA